CACAACGATGATGTACGCAGAGCGGGACGTGCCCGTTCTGCGTACATCAGTGGTGTGAAGTGTATGGAGGCATCTGCTCTTTCATTAGCATGTAGCTGTATATACTGTTTGTTGTGCGAATTTTGCAGAATACTGGTAACCAGAAACATTTACTAGAGCGATCGAACTGAAACACTGAAAATTTGAGAGATTAGTTTTTCAGAAGTAGTGTAGTTACAGAGTTAACCTTTGAGACAACCTTACAATGAGGCCGTCTAAAATAAACATCACGAAGGCGAGGCATTGAGCGTACTGCGGCTGCGCCGCGTATTAGTCTGGAGTGCTGTCAGTCCATTGCATTCACACAATATTCTTCAAAAAAACAATTCCTCATTCAGAAACCATGTTTCGCACAGCGGTAAGAACGGTCAACTTTGTATGGTTAAGGCCTGTACGATATACTCTACAGCTTTCGCCAAGCCCGCATGAAGACTTCTGGCCACATAGTAATGCGGGGAATTCCCGGTGAACGTAAGTTCGTTCAGACATAATTTATGCTTCGAACGCGCACCCTCACGGTTCTAGAAACTAGAAGGTTCGCCATCTTAACAAGCACAACATCTTTACTGCAGCTCAATTACAGTTTTGTCAGTTGGGGATCTCGCTCTAAAATTCAGCTTCAGCTGCAGAATGAGGGTTTCTCTCTAGGAAGAACCACATTATCGTACATAAAGCTTGGCTTTCAGTACACTCCTCATGTGAATAGAAGCTGCAGTACAGCTGATCAGCACCTCCATGGAATGCGCTCAACTCCCTTTCCGAACGCAATACCCATTCTTCAAGCTACGTCGCCGTTGTGTTTGATACTGACCTCTGCAAATACGATCCCCCTCCCGAGGGACCGAATATGACCCACAGTCGCGGATTCCGCTAACCAGGAAAGGTCAACAGGTCAGCCCGGCCATTTGCAATGAGCTGCACATCACTGTACTCGTCTTGAGACGGTGAACTCAGAACTGTCTTCAAAATTTGCAGAACGATTCTCTGAACGGAGTCAGAGAATCGTTCTTCCTCCTTCTCGGGAGTTTGACGTCTAAAAGTGATTCGTCTGAGTTAGAGGCGAAACGAATCATTTTCTTTTACAAACTTATTACTCACACATCTTCTTCTCTTACTTCAATTGTGGAGGTTTTTCTTTACTGTTTTTCTTCTTACGGGCGCGCTGGCGCCGAAGCGTTGGCACCTGTAGCGCGACTCACAGCGCTCTTCGCGCAGAATAGCTATCATATTCGTGTTCAGGGGGTCAAATAACCCCCAAAGACGTCACCTTAGCGAAACCCTGAGGTTCTGACTCAGCTTCGAAAAAATGGGGTTAGGTTAGTCATGGCTAACTGGTAGCCAACAGCGATACTACGGCTAGCCTACTGGTGACGACTGGTCTTCGAGCTGAAATGACTCTTTAGTCATGTCTTTTCGCAAAGAACAATACCTGGCTCACTCATTCGTGCCGTCTACATCATTTTACCTGATTACTAGGAGGCACATTTCATCCCGAAACCAGTGCCATCGATTGGCAGTGTACTGCCAACCTGCTGCTAATTGCCACATTCTATTGCGCCACGTTTTCCGAATCAAGCCCGAAATATCAGATTTGGCAAAATCTTGCGCCTCCAGTAGGTGGTTTTGACTCTCCTGAACATGAATTATCATGGTTGATAGTGCAAAATAAACTGCTTCGTGACATGTGTTTAACGAGGGGGGCGGAGCATCAAACTACTGTGGGGGGTGTTGGGGTCTTTCAGGCCACAATCGGATCTGACTCACTTTCGCGAGAAAACTGATCGCAGTAGCCTACAAGGTAGTGCAGGCGAGGTCAGAGATTTACATTGCTTGGGTCGGAGATGTTGCTTGGACAAGATTGCAAAAGAGAAAACAAAACCTGCCGGGATCGATCCAGCTACGGCTCTCTAGGAGAACGCCCCATACTCCGCTGAACGAGAGTCGTTCCGCGAAGAATTCTGAAGGCAAAGTGAGTTCACCGTCTGAAGACGCGTACAACGGTGTGCACCGCATTTCAAATGGCCGGGCTGACCTGTTGACCTTTCCTGGTAAGTATGCTTGAGCGCGGGTCGGTGGTGTACATAGGATGTTCAGGGTGTTTTATCCGGTAGTGCTGAAGTTTCAGATCGGTAGCGTTCCATGTGGTGGTTTTTTCATTGACCACTGTGTACTCTCCAGCCCTACAGTTGCTCTATAACTCATAGGTCAAGTTCGCATGGCGTTGAAAAGCATCAGGATTCTGAATGACAGGACGAGTACATGGCGCACCAAAGATAGCCTGATGATCGTCTCGAAGTTTGTGTGACTTTGTGCTGATCAATCTTTTCCAGCCTTTACACGTCTTTGTCCAAAACCGTCACTAATCGTTCTCTGCAAAGGAATTCTATCGAAGTTACACTCAGTTTTCCTCACCGCACGTTGAGCTCCACTGCGGACCTTGCCCACGAAAACAAGCTGTAGCACTCACCCACTCTGTGGAATCCTGATCATTGGCGTGCGGAGAGAATGACTCCCTGCTGTAGAGGTGCCATTTTCTGCGCGTTAAAAAGACGTGAGAGGGGCTTGTAGTGTAGTGATTTACAGTGCAGCTGCGCGCACACTCCGCTCGCGCCAATTTATACAGGCGCCCTAGATCATGAACGCACGCGCGCTGCTTGTCTGGCTTCTTCAGCTTCTGTGCTGTCTGTCTACCTCACGCTTGCCGTTTCGTCGCGGATTTTGATTCGACGTAATGCGGGCTAATGCGGTTGACTGCCGACCAATTTCGGGCACAGTCCTCATTTTTACCATTACTATCCTGCGCCAGACCCGCTGAAAAGAGGGTACACCAGGTTATTTACGCATCCTGGCTTTACAATTATGGACATCATTCGTTGCGCTGACACCAAGGGATGACACTACGATTACCTCTTGGGCTCAGCCTTAGCGGAGCGCAGGTAATCGTAGTGTCATCCATTAGCGCCAGCGGCAAGAGTGAATGTCATATTCGTAATCAGGATGTTAAACTACCCCTACATACAAGTTTTTAGCGGATTTGGTAACTTAGGCAATTTAAAAATGAGCTCGGTGCCGAAAGTTGCTGGAGTCCAAACGGCATTAGCCCGTATGCGGTACACCTGGGCGATAGCACGGCGTATATGCAGACGGCACTCGGGTACCACTACCTCGCAACCCCGTTCCCGTGCACTTTGAGCGGAGAAGAGCGGCACACTATTACAGCTACGGACACACTCTCCTCGCGCATTGCAAGAATCGTCCTCAGAGTAGAGTGCACCGTTCGTCTTTCGCTGTATTATGTTGAGCTCTTCATGTAGTGAAGCACTATGTTCACAAAATCAGCGTACCTATTAAATGACTAAATTCATGGGAATAATTGCTTTTTATAGCATCACTTGCGTCGAGCGGTAGAAGTTCCCTCAGCGAGTTGTTGGTTCCTTTGCGTACCTTCGATAGGTGTCACCGTATCCTTTTCAACATAGTCAGCTTCTTAATAAACGCGAACCCATGATTTTTAATTTCATCTTCAGGGTTCCTCTTACATGTCACTATCTACTCAATGAACCTTTCGCGGGAACCATTGCGCTGCTTAGGCCCCTTTTTCATGGTTTTCTCCTCCTTCAACTTCTTGTTGTTATTCTCCAGTTTTTTGACTCCTTACACTATTTGATTTTGTGATCCCCACGAGGTCTTGTTCGCTGAACATGATAGGGCGTGTCGGTGCTGCTGCGTTCGACGTAGTTGTTGAAGCGAGCAAGCAGCAAGACTCTATCATGTCGTTCGCATCAGTCGTTTCCCACCATTTGTCGTTTAGCCGCTTCAGCAGCCGGTGAAGAACGTTTGGCGACGCGCCAAACCCATGCCGCCTGACACGCCCCTTCATCCGCAGCGAGCAAGACTTTATTCCTCCCGTGCTCGCGATGCACTGGTCTGATCTGAATCCGTCTGCGTCAGTCCACGCTTTTCTTCTCCTCCCTTTTTTCAGAATTTGTGACAGCTTATCGATTACACTGACTTCTTTTCCAAGCCTTTACTTCAAAAAAGACATCATCACACAAATTCAATTATTTGACAAACATTTATTACGTACAATACAAACGAACAAATAAAAAGAGTGAAATCAAAAGACCGTGTGAATTTTGGCGATAAGTTTAGAGGTCATAAGAAAACGGAACGCTTTAGGAAGGGATGCCAACAGATGTTCGGCTTTTTGGAAGCAAAACTTGCCCTGACCTCACACAAACGGCAGATTAGTGAGACAACAAACATTCACATTCAACACACCTCCAGTAGCACTCACAGCAACTCATTACAATAGAAATTAATAAACAAAAGGCCTCTTTGAGCCTAAAAATGAAATAAATCAAATGCTAGCATGTTTCGTATCGATATGTAATTACCGTACTTGATTGGGTGAGACAGAGTTGGAGTTGCCCACACGAGAAAAGAATTAAGCATAGTAAAACACTACACTTTCACGGGGTCGTACAGCTAACTCAAACTACGATCTCAGAAGTAGCTGTTTATAGAAACGACAATCAAACTAACGTTCTCTTCAAGTTCAATTAGCATCATGGCCTAAAAAATGTAAGAAAGCTGAGTTTTACAGCCTATGAAGACAAAGTTTATGTACAAAAGGACGACAAAAGATTCGACACAACGAAAAGCTTTCAGTCTCGATCAAAAAGTCTGTTGTACGAGAGACTTTAGTTCCACAACAAATCGTGAATTGTCTAGAATCGGTCCTTAGTTGGATTTGCCAAATCCAAGAATAATGTATTGGTTGCGCTTACACAAATTAAGAAGCCATGTTTCACTTACGAACAACAACTTGGTGGTACCATGTTTTAACTCTACCAGGAATCGAGTGAATGAAAGCGCGCGTTTTTGCGGGATCGCTGTAGAGAACGAAGTATGTGATGAGAGTGACAAATCCCATCAAACCTAACGTTACGAAGATTTCGCGTCGATTTGATACCACGGATTGACAAGCAGCACGGGAAGCATTACGAACAGAGCGACCAGCGGCACAAACTGTACCACACGTGCGATTAAACAGTTTGGTGATAGCAGACGGCGCCGTGGACCTTCTCGACGTGACCTGAAAAGAGTGGCATAAAAAACATAAGCAATCATTCAATTTGGAATTTCTTGATCTGAAGTAACCAGTAAATATTCCACCTCTCGCGCCACGCAAATGACTCCTAACTATGATGAAAAGCAAGAGCGCTAGTAACTCAACATGTGGAATGTCCTTGAGCGCCGTAGTCTTTTACTAACTGGATATATCATGAGATTTTTATTATGAAGCTCTTCTTACCTGAACAGGTGATCGACTGGAACTTTCAGGTCTCAGGAATCGCTGTCGCATTTCGTAATCGTAAGGCGTGGACGAGAAGTACTTCCTTTCAGTGCTACGCGAAGGTCGCACGCTTGAAGTGGTGGTCGATGAGGAAATAATGTCCGATGGTGTTTTTGGAGCAGCCTGACTGCGAGTCACTGATCGTTTCCTCTGTACTGGCGCCTTCGTTGTCGGGGATTTGCCTGACGGTGTCTTCATCGAAGGAGTCTTAGCTGATGGTGTCTTTGTCGAAGGAGTTTTGACTGACGATGTCTTCACTACGGCAGTTTTCGGCTCTTCCTGTTTTCCTGGCGAAGGCATTCTCAGCGGAGACAATTTCTGAATCATTCGAATTTCACATTACCAAATGACAGACAAAAGATCTCAAGTTGATTAAACATTAATTATAACAGTATTCAATGGGAAATTTACCTTTGCTGGACGCGGACGAGATCGCGATCTGCTGATGCTCTTCTTTGATGACTTTTGTTTCTCCTTACGTCCCTTACTAGCAGACCTTGATCTGGTTTTCACTTTGATTTTTTCGGATTTCTTCTTCTTTGGTTCAGTTTTCGGCGACGACATTATTACTTGCTTCGGTGAAAGTTTTGGCGACGACGGCATCGTTTGCTTCGGTTCAGATTTTGGCGATGAAGTCATCTTTTTCACTCGTGCCGGCGACTTCGACGAGCTTTTGCGTGTTCGAGAAACGGATCTGGCCTGAAATGAACGAATATCGCGGACAGAATTTGTAAAAATACAACTGCCTTTTGAACTTATTTGTGCTGTGCATGAATACTTTCAATATGTAGCACCAAAGGGCCCTTCGACAAACTGGTTTATCTTGTGCATTATTTAATACCTCTATTTTGAAAACGACTTCTACTGACTTAATGGCAAAAAGATCTTCCTACTGACGATAGTTAACCGCCCAGAGTTTCATTAGACCACTTATTAGATGGTCAGGCATTTCCCTGCTAGTACCCGGGGAAAAACTTGGTTCTAGATGCTCTACATGGTTACCTGAGTGCAAAGAACACACGAGAGCCTCAGATTACCAACGTTTGTGAAAAGTAGATAAGAGCTTCATAGATGTGTTTCACTCACCATTTATGGAAATTTAGGGAATGTCCCTTAGATTACAGCTCAGTTATAGTAAACCAATGAGACAGGCGGAACAGGGTGAACACAAAAATTTTTGGCAACCGTTCAAAGGACGATCGGCGAAAGATGGCGTTAGCTGCAGAGGGTGCGGAAGAGTTAGAGTAGGCGATGAAAGACAGGCACAGGGAGACGGCGCAGACACGGCGCGAACGACGACAAAGCATACGCTGGACAGGAGTGTGCCAGACAACGGTTAGTTGGCCACCGTCCAACTGACCCCTCTCAGCCTGTCGAGGTCAGCGCTGCCTAGCCGAGATTGTTAGCCGGAAAAATAAATCACTCATAAATGACGGCAAAAATCAATAGTTGAAAATACTCGTTTGATAGGAAAGTACGCAATGACTAAACTGAAATTCCTCTTTACGAATCAATCGCTGTCCATCTTTAAATTAGCGAACGTTTGTCACCGTCAAGTGCCCGAATCACTCACCATCCTCGTAATGAAGTGTTCCTGGTGTTTGGACAATCACGGCAAATGCTTCTGGAACGGCTCGAGGAACCTGGAAAAGACCGTGTAAGTGGATCCTGAACGGCATTTGGGCAGTAGAACAGAAGAGCGGAGGTTTTCAGCGATTATTGGGAAAAGAAATGGAGATTACAAGAAGTGAAGGTGCTCAAAACGCTGCTCCATGTGGGAATACGTTAGCTTAGGAATAAGTGAAGTCTACCTGAAATACTCAAAAAGCCCCTTAACGTGTGGCAAAACCAGTGCATAAAAAGGTGCGACAGATGAGCACAAGCGACGTACGGAGTGTACAAGAGAGACGCCCTCATAGAGTGACCTCTGTATATGAAGAGAGTATGAGGTTATCAGAGAGTGCTAGAGTGCTAAACGCCTGGCACGACGCCAAACCAATAGGACGCCAAAAGCTTGGGGCGTGGCCACGCTGGGACGCGGAGCCGTTCCCCTGTCCGGAAAGGGAATGCGTCTTTGAATCATGAATCAAGCAGCTGGGAGCTCGAGCTCATGTTAGCCATGTGGCATGCTTCCAGGAGGCATATGGGCTTCAGTGGCCTCACAGCGAGGTGGGTTGAACTTAGTTGGTAAACCAGGATGAAACCCATTTTCGTCTGCTCGTGGAGCTAATCTGGCATGCGACAATCGAAATTGTACTAAACTCCGTTAGGGAAATTGCTTGCCCTTTCGGGCTAGGAGGGGCAACCAATCCTGCATAATCGCTAGCCTGCACGATCGCTATTTGCAGTGAAAACAACGTTAATAAAAGCATAGTCATTGCAAGGCGCGTCTATGTGAATCAGTGTACTTCGCCGCTGGAGATTTCCCACTGGAGGTCGTATTTGGTCGCTGGAGGAAGGGGGTCTTACTTGGCCTGAAAATTCTCTTGACAGTTGATTTTTTCCGTTTCCTGCGCACTGCCGACAGCGTGGAAATCTGATTTTAAGAAGATTCTGATAATCAAAATTGGATCAGTCGTGGTTATTCCCGTTTCACCTGCGCTATACCCTATTCCGCTAACCCGATCCACCGTCGGCGGTAAAAGGATTTTGAGGGAAAAAAATTGAAATTTTGGGGAAAAGGTAAGAAGTTGGGAGAGGCCAGTAAGATGGTGGATAAAGTGGGGGAGCGGATGGTGGAGGTCGTACCATAGACAGGAAATCGGGGAGGGTCGCATTTCGAAGGGAAATTCCCCCAGCGACAGAACGTGCCCTGATGTGAATTCAAGGACTCTTGGGGAAGTATTGAATTGATTGGAATGTTACTAGGAAGGAAATAGTGGTGAGTTTTAGGGAAACGAGCAGCGAAAAAAATCGAAGCACTCTCAAGAAGAGGGCGGAGAAGAGATATGTGCCAGTCATCATTTGTGTCGAAAGGACAAGAAAAAAAAGATTGCACTCAAAGGTCGTTCTAGAGTGCATGAGGTGACGGGAAGTACACAATTGTTCGATGCCTGTTTTTTTTCCTTTTTGACAGAGCAAAAAGAGTTGTCTGACTGCTAGCCGAAACATGAAATTGTAGTGGGTAGTAACGCCATTTACTGCGCACGTGGTCCGAAGCTACGCTTTCACGCTGGCCAAGGAAACGTTCCAGTCCCCAAGGGGGTAAATTGATATCAAACCTTTCGAAAGAATGAAATCGTTGACCTCTACGTTGGCTGGCCAAATTGTTGCATAGATCATGTTGCACTCGAGAAGCCATACGATTAGGAATGGAAGTAGAATGAGCGGCGCATCCCAAGAAAGACCGATCAACGTTGAAAGCCTTATCCCTTTAACGACAAATGCCTGCATAAAACCTGACAAGAACATCGCTCGAAGGTCTTATGCAAGATGTGGGGAAGCTGACTGTAGCCAAGTGGACAAGTGTTGCCCAATACAAATTGAGGATCGCGCCAAGGAGGCCCTTGAGAGCATGAAAACATCTTAAGCGCAGCTGAGCGATTTGATCTGGGAGCAGTACAATGTGCTGGCAAGGGCAACATGTCTACAGATATTAATTAGAGGTCTTTTCCTCAATTAAGAAAGAAAAGGTTCACAATTCCTAGTTCATTTACTACTTAAAAGCTCAGGTAAGGCGTTATATGACGTGGTGGGAGGTATTGACGCCATAAGTGGTCACGTTATTGACACTAAAAGTAATTTACTAGTTATAGATCAGATACGAGTGTCTAGTAATGTGATGCAATTGATTGACAGGAAGGACAGGCTCCTGTCTTACAAGTTTAAGTCGAGTCATGGGAAAAGTCGATTGCGAAGGAAACCCACTCACACTGAACATGTGAACTGTTAATGAATTGAAAAAAGGGAGGTTTAGGAACGCACAAAGGAACTCGAGAACAGTATGAAAAAAGGCACTAGTTCTCGGAGGGGGGAGAGGGAGACAAACGGTTAAAAGATTCTTCGTGCTACTCGGGATACCTCTGTTGCCTATGCCTATAGATGGGAGGAGCTCTTGGGCTGGTGGTCCAGTTTAAAGGACCGTACCTTTAGTCAGAAGTCAGTCTTACTCTTGCCCTTCAGGAAGACGAACCTTTCAGAGGCCTCCTATGAGTAATAACGTCCAGGTAACAACTATACGTTGATGTTTCCCAGTGAGGAGGTTGCATTTGGTCACTCGAAGGACAGAGGGGGGGGGGGCTGGCTCGCCTTTGTTAAAAATGCTTCGTTTACTGACTTTTCTCGAGGTTTAATGTTTCATGTGTGTTACCGGAGAATAGAACCTGACCCTAAATCTCACCTTCAATATGAGCATGGGAATAAATTTTGCGACCTGATGGACCCCGCTTCTTTTGTGATAATAGGTGCATCTTACATTGTTCGCTAGTTCCTCTATATTAGCTCGGGACAGATCGAGGCGCGCTCCCAGTTCACCGGGTCATTTCGTAGAATTCTGTAAACACAACGAGAAACCCTGCTGCAGCCTTGTACTCATGTAAGCCCACGAAAATAACAAGTTTCATTTTCAAGTAGTTCCCTCAATTTTTTCAGCGGTGGATGACAGTGAGGGCACGCATGGTACGTTAGAGTTCCCCAGCGAGGAGGGGGTCGTAGATCGTCGCTGGTGGGGGGGTTATATCTTTTTTCCAGGAAAACGTTCTCCGTTGTTGATTGCTTTCAATTTTTCCTGTTTCAACTGCACCCCATACCCTTCCTCGACGCGTTTCCTCGCCCGTTCGACGCAGGGCACATCGTTGTTGGGGAATCCCCAATAGGGGGGGGGGGGTCGTATTTGGCCGCCAGGAGAGGGGGTCGTATTTGGGCTGGGAAAAATTTATTTTGATAGTTGATTTTTCTCGCTTCACGGACGTTGTAAAGGGGGGGGTCGTACTTGGTCATTGTTGGGAGGGGGGGGGGTCGTATTTACGTTTTGGCGTTGTAGGAGCGGTGGTTGACTTTTTGTGATTTTCATGCGCACTATTAACCGAGGCTATAGCTCGACGACTCGATTCGATGAGAAAGGACACAGGGCCGGAGAGGGAGGGGTCGTATCAACTCTCAAAAAGGTGGGTCTTACAGAGTAGACCAAAATCCCCAACCAATGATGTGCCCTGATTCGGTGGCAGTTTTTAGGGAAAATAGGAAATTTTTGAAAAAACCCTCGGAAGTGGTGACAAGTTGAGAATAATTAGGAAGACGGTCGGTAGGATAGGGCGTGAGAGATGTGGGGTCGTAGCGGAGGAGGGGATTCTGAGGTAAGAGTCGTTCCAAGGAAAAAATTCCCAACGGTAGGACGCACCCTGATGGCAGTTAATGCTGGCAGGCACGAGGAAAAGCTGTGAACGATGAAAAATGACCTAACACAAGCTCAGAGGGGAAGCTCTGGGATGGGTGAACCAACTCCTTCGAGTCAAGAGGGTTTTGCATTTCATCAGAACGTTTATGCCTACTACAGGCCCTGCACAGGATTTGACAGAAATTTACAAAACGGCTCGGCGTATTGTACAGCGTCCAGATCGATTCTCTGACGATGGAGCGACCACCGAATAAATTAACTGAATTCATTCTTTGTCAAATAGCCGAAGAACAGTTAAAGGAGAACGCCTATGAACTTCAAAGTTGAATGAAAAAGCAAAGAGAAATTCGTCTTATCAGTGGCATTGAATAACTGACAATGACTTCTGATTGCGGATCATGAGCAGATGGTGGACGGGCGATTGAGAATGAAAGGAAGAAAGAGAAATCAAAGGCCGAGTTTGGCTAGTGGTAGGCTCGGCTCGACGATCACAGCCG